GTGTATGCTAAACGTTACTAATTACGGATGCTAGGACTTAGTGAGTTTTTGGACTACCGCTCTCTTTTTGGGCCGTGGTATCTTGACTTATTTTGTGAGGAAAGCTCCATACTTTTGAAGGATGCCTGCCATTCCTAATATGTTGGAGCACCTTCAATTTCGTATGATACTGTGCAATACCTCTAGTGTGAAATAGTTGCTTCAAGCGCCGTGGTACGCTGCGGCGCGGCGCGGCGGGCGGGCAGGTAGCGCAGAACGCGCATTGGCGCCTACAAACCTAATAGGGATACTTCACGCATTGCGCAATGCGTGAAGTATCCCTGTTAGGTTTGTAGGCGCCAGTGCGCCGCCGCTCCGCTTTGTGTTAGGCTCTAATATTTAACCCTTTATTGCATAGCGTTGCATGAAAGCAACAAATGGTTTTCAGCTTTATTTCTGTGCTGAAGTATTAAATTGGATCGAAGCAAGAAATGAGTTTTGAGGAACATTTTAAGTCTGATCTCTTTACTTTAAAAAAACCCGTAAAAATCGATTCTAACCGACTCTAGTGTCGAAAACATACTGTACAATGTGGATTTTCCCTCCAAAATCAACGAGTAGCTCATGCAACAAAGGGTTAATCTCGTGGAGTCAGCGTTTTTCAACTCATGACTTTGAAATGTTTGCACACTCTGGATGGATTATTCTCATTGTAATTGATGAAAAAAATACGAAGTAAAGGAAAAAAATAATGTGCGTTTTGTAAATATTAAGGTGATTCCGTACAAACTTAAGGATTTACAAAGCACACAAATGCGGCCATCGGCAGACAATTTTTTCTAGATAAGCCTACTTTTTTTAAAATATGACCCAGGTTTTTTTTTTTATATTGCGTGATACATTTGCGAAAAAGTGTAACACAACATTTAAACGATATAAATTTTTATTTTTTGTCAAAGTCTATTTGAGCGTTTTACAGGGTCGATCTCCATGATTTTTACGACTATCCGCGGGTGATAACCCCTTAATGAACCCGCTCTAATCAGATTTTTGAAAAAGAACCCAGATTTTTTTATATAAGAGTAGACTAGAGAGCTCAGGAAGGAAGAAACATTTGAAATTCCCGCCAATGAAGTATGGCGAGAGCCTCCCCTGGCACATTAATATGTCAAACGCAGTGATCTGGGAGCGTGCAGTTTTGGACCCGCTCGAAGCTTAAAAAGCTGAGAGTATGGCACGCAATACCCTTTTTAGGCACCAATTTAACTTTCATGTAACCGTTGAAAAGATAATTGGCACTATTATCCTTACCTTTATGAAGACCCTCGTGCGATTTTACCCGTATAAAGTCTACTCAATTGGCTGTACCTCTTGTTTGAAACATACCCATTCACTTTTTGCTTAAATTTCTAAGAAAACGCCGAGTCGTTTCACCGAACAGTGCATTAGGTAAAAAGGCAACCAGTCAGATTGCGGGGGAAAAAATGGGAATGATATCAAAAGGAAGTACAAATGTTTGCATGTTTGTATCATAATAGTCGAAGGTTTAGGTCCTAGTTAAGTCTTAGACTTAGGTCTAGGATAAATCATATTGTAAATATTCAAATTTCTATATACAGAAGATGAATAATTAAAAAAAAAAAAAAAAAAAAAAAAAAAAAAAAAATTAAATTGCGTGTGCTACTGTGACGTCGGAAGCAAAGCTTCACATGTGAAATAAAGTGTTTCTCATCGAAATAATCCTTCCTTTTTTTCCGCCTTCATTTAATTTTTTTTAATTTTTCATTCGAGAATCGAAACGAACGTGTTAATGGATCGTTGACAGAGCAGACGCAAATACTTGCAGTTTCCTTTGGGTAGTTCACTCGTGTGTCGGGAGGATGCGGGTTCGTGTTTGGTTTTACCTGGCCGTCTTTTCGTGGGTCAGCTGTTTAGTGAGTATTTACATGCGATTATCTAGCATCGCGTCCAAGGTAATGTAGCATCGCGTCCATGATATTGGACTCCATGATCACCTATATAATGTTCAGTTGCTCATCACGTCCAAGATCTTGGACTCCATGCTCACTTTAATGAGGGATAATTTTTTAGAAAAATCGAATTGAGCATAGCGCCCAAAACTGTAGGATGCAGGTATTCTCTGACAACACACGAGCATATGGTCCAAAAATTTATTAAGACAATTTTTGTGAAATAAAGACGAAAAAATGTGTTTTCGCAAAAAATTGTGCATTGGTTAGGGTAGGTTAGGTTAGGTTAGGTTAGATTAGGTTAGGTTAGGTTAGGTTAGTTCTAGTCAGATTAGATAAGAGAAGTTTACGATTTTCTATCATTATGAACTTTAAAACTAAGAAAGGCCTACTTGCTATTGGACTCCATGCTCAAGCAAAGAAGTGAGAACTTTAGCGATGAGCATGGAGTCCAAGATCTTGGACGAGATGCTACATAATCGCGTCCAAGATATTGGACTCCAAGCTCACCCTTGATATACTTGCCTGCTCATCGCGTCTAAAACCTAACTCGAGCAGGCCTCCTTTAGTTTTAATGTTTTAACCATTCTTCATCTTAATAGAAAATCGCATACTTTTCTTATGTAATCTAACTTCACCTGGCCTAACCTAACCAGTGCGCGATTTTCTACGAGAACAAATGGTTATCGTCATTATTTTTCAAAAGTTGTCATGATAAACTTTGGACCCTATGCTCGTCTAATGTCAGAGAATATCTGCGTCCCACGATGTTGGACGCGTTTGGGATTTCTCTTTGCTACAGTTAGTTCGACAGTGTTTGGAAGTATTATAGGACTAAATAATTGCACTATTTAAAAAAATGATAGGCTACAGTCCTATAATTACTATCTGCTGATTTATTTTTAAAGAATAAGGATTAGGTTAAAATTGTTTCTTATTTATTTTATAAGCTACATGTTTATACGATGGTGATTAGTAAGCATACTATCTAAACATGGTACTTTCTACATTAATCAATTCAGGTTTAACTGTATAAACTTGAGTAAAAAGATTATAGTTTTCATCTATGGCTTAAGGATTTCTGGGTTTCTGTAATGCTCAATTTGATTTTTCGAAAAAATCATTTCTCATTAAAGGGTGGATGGAGTCCAAGATGTTCAACGTGATGAGCAGACAAGCATTACATAAATTGTTATGGATTCAATATCATGGACGCAATGCTACATTACCTTTACACGCTTAGAAGCCGCTTTCACAGCGCAGCTTCGTGCTCTGCGACACCTAATCACCATCGTCCCCTTTAACCTCCCGCAGATCAACAGTATTCAGGAGGCAATGGGCCTGTTGCAAACTTTTGCTAGAGCAAAAATAAGAGTTGTTTATTATAGATAATGCCTCCAAAATCACGATGAGCGCATCGGCAAAGTCTGAAATGCACTCATAACTTCACAGTCTGCGTAAGAAATTTGCGGTTCTTTGAGCTTCCCGCTTCAAAAACGATACTACGGCACAGGTGAACATTTTGTAAGAGGAGTCGTTCCATCGTCGGCAATACTCATCATGGCCGACGCTAATCCGCCAAAACACGTGTGATGGGACGAGATAACACCTGAACTGGATTAGACCAGATAACAATCGGCGTGTTAGCGTTCATATTTTCCACGCCTGAATTGATTGACCTTGAACTCTCCTCGAATTACGCGCGAAACTGCGCGCAAGCGTCGGCCATGATGAATATCGCCGACGATAGAGCGACTCCTCTGACAAAATGTTCACCTGTGCCGTAGTATCGTTTTTGAAGCGGGAAGCTTAAAAAAACGCAAATTTCTTACGCAGATTTTGAAGTTATGAGTGCATTTCAGACTTTGCCGATGCGCTCATCGTGATTTTTGAGGCATTATCTATAAGAAACAACTCTTATTTTCGCTCTAGCAAAAGTTTGCAACAGGCCCATTGACAGGCCCTGATCTACTCCTTTACTCCTTGTCGCCAACCTTTCACAAAACGGATGGAACCCGACTGAAAACGTGATTGGGCAACCGATCGTTTGCCATTCTGCTTGTCTAATGCTTTTATACAGGAATAGAACTGATAGTGCTTTTTATGTTTGTCGGTTCAACCAAAGCATACTTTTTATTTTTTTTGGGGGGGAAGTGTGTATCCCCTGCGAATGGTACCAAAATGAGCTTGGCTCGTACCGTATCTTTTCCGATCTCGAATCCCGGTCACCCAGAAGATGTGAGGGGGAGGCGCACTAATGAAAAATCAAAAATAAATCTGGAAAACTACATTACCAGACACCTCTCTCACAGACTCCGAGAAATCTGGCAGAATCCTTTGATTTACACTTATGGCGGAGTTCTTCTAAGTTTAGACGAAGGGTTCGCGATTAAATAACCGACTAACACTAATCTTTTCGCAAGGTTGACACTCCGACACCGTCTTCTCACATTACGTCGGAATTTTTTGACTTTCTTCATCTCAATTTTCTCGAAATCTTTGTTCTTTTTTTCAATTATCGTCTGAAAATAAAAACAGTTATATATGTGAGTTTTCTTCAGTTACTTACATTTTTTCCATGATGTTGTTTTCATCTAAATTCTCATCAGATTTTTCCTTCGTTTCTCTTCTTTCTTTCTCAAATCTTTTACAACTAAAGAGGAAGTGTTCCGCGATGCCTCCGGATGTAGATTTTACAAACCGCATTCTTACATAGTTCGCTTTCTTTGTTTCGAAGTTACAATGTTTACGCAAAGCTGGTTGGGAAACAAATAAACGTCGTTGTTTAGTTGGAAATAGTGTTGTCAAGTATGATCTTCCTAAAAAATATTTTAAGGTTGTAAAGGAGTCACATTTTTTCGTCAGGGGAACGACAAAATTGTCCATCCATACAAAAGTGAACTACTTTCGGGAATTTTAAGACATTGCAAAAAATCTTAGGCCCTTACAAGTTGATTCAAATGTGTTGTCCTTAAATATCGACCCTGGTTCAGCACTCAGATCCTATTTACTCGCCTATCTTTGATCGAGAGTTTGAATTTTTCATTCCAGCTGCTGAAGAATGTTGAAACAGCCAGATCAACAAGTAGATGGGATACTGTTCGCAATTTGATGCGTCAGGCCACCCGAGCTTTCTCTACAGGAAACCCACCGTAAGTTATTTAGTGTGTCGTTTCAAATTTAAATTTCTTGAGAGATTAATCGTTTGTTCGTCTCTACTTTTGAAATATATATCAAGTCGCTAACTTACTGTGCTAGAACGCTTTACGATTCTCAAACGCCACTGAAATCGATATTTCCGTAGTTCATCGGGCAAAAGAGTGCTGGCATCTTCACGCCATAATTTTATGTTTTCAAATCTGTTTCTTCTTCAAGCAAAAAAAAAAAAATCAGAATGAGAATAGAGCGATGCCTGCACGAAGGGTCATTAGGTTCTGCGTACTCTGAAGCATAAAAAAGTGGGATTAGGAAATAAAGGAGATGGTAGTGAGAATTGATCTCAAATGATATCAAATATTTTGATGTTTGAAACTGATATATTGCTTTGATCATTAAAGCTCAAGAATTCTGTAGAGAGAACTCATTCCCATAACCAATGATTGCACCTTGTGTAAGCAGCTCAGGCAACTAAACTTACTTTACAGATAAGCTGGTTGCGCCAGGGAAACTGAAGGGGATTTGTAACGAGAATGAAGTTTCCATATTTTTGGTACTGTTTTCCTTGTATGAGAGTTGTAATTGGACTACATTATGCAATTAGGAACTATAAATTCCGGCTCGGTTTAAAAACAACGTATGTGCCATTAGTTTTCCTATGCCCATAAGTGTTTTTTTTTTCAAATGAGCTAGAATTTATAGGTCCTAATTGCAAAATGCAGTCCAATTGTAGGACTGACCATGTTTACTCTCTAATCATTTGTAAAAAAAAAAAAAAAAAAAAAAAAAAAAAAAAAAAAACGGATCACTTTATTCCGCCATCTTTTGAAAAATTGTCTTCAAAGAGGCATCATCTTATATATAAAGTAAAGGTCGGTTTTGACGGTTTTCACGAAATGGGGGTCAAACCGTTCGTCAGATCTTCCCCAAAATTTGTATACAGGCCCTCCCCGGTTTGATGGGTGACAAGGGCTACTTCAATTGTATCCCGGTCGTGATTTCGGGATTATATCTTCAAAAAATGGGAAAATTGGGGAGAGGAACGGGCCCACGGTTGCTAGGCCACCGCCGCTGCAGCATCGCCGTATTGCGATTATCGATACATGCGATTATCAGTTTGATGTGATTTTTGTTATCTTAAAATAAATGCAACATTTACAACATATTTACTGTAAATTATTTTGAATTTGATCAGCTATTGTAACCTTTCTTGATTAAAGAACGAATTGTAGAGCGAAATTCACACACGCAGAAGCCAAATTCAGCGACATGACACAACTCCCACGGGTTATAACCACTTGCAGCTTCACCTTTTCACGTGCTGCAGTTCAGACCTACTAACTATCGAATAATCCTACGACCAATGAAAGAATGTGCTTCTGCGAGTTTCACATGAGTCTCAAACATCTCCAAGCCACTTTCTTGCGATAAGCGATACAACACTTACAGAAACTCACTTGCTGATGGCGCTCCGTGAAATTTTGGACCCACGCGGAGCGGAGGTGGACTCAGAAAAATCCATTTTTTTAGAATCACATCAAACCTAATTTGAAATCTATAGCGCGTTTGAAAGCTTAAAATCGTGGCTTTCCAACACTTTTTACAAATTTTTCTTATCTATCTTAATTTATTTGTAGAGGATATTTTATTTGTAGAGGATATTTTATTTGTAGAGGATATTTTATTTGTAGAGGATATTTTATTTGTAAACTGACTCTCTGAACAACCCTCGTAGTTTGTAGAGACTAAGAAAAAATCTTGACCTCAAATGTTACCTCTCAAACATTTTTAGGTCTGAAGTGAAAGATGTAAGACATGAGAACATTGTAACATGATATTTTGGAAGTTTCTTTTCCACCTTAAACTTACAGTGGTTTGATTATCCCCAGCTTTACCACCTGGGTTAAAATAGACCCGGCAGCTTATAAAAATGTTCGTAATTTGCCTATTATGGCACCGAGAATGTTTTGCTTCACAGAATCCTTTTCTAAAATTAGGTTCTAAATTTTTATTATTATTATTATTTTTTTTTAAAAAAAAGAAGAATAAACTGTGGTAACGAAGAATCGGTACTCATCGCTACCCCTTGAATTTCCAACCGGAACCACTCAAGGCCCAGATCAGTTTTAATGGGTTATTAGTATTCCTTAATGATCAAGGCTGATAAGAATGTTTCGTAGTGCTAATGAAGTGATTTTATGTAAATAAAAACAAATTTTTGGGATGAATAATGTTTTACAATTATTGAACTTCTATTATATGTTGCGATTCTGCGCAACCCGTAAACCATGCTTCACCACGATACATTTTTTATTAAGTGAGGGAGTGAGTCGAGACTTTACACCGTGCAGGAGAATTTTGGTAGAAGAAAAGTGCCCATTTAGTGAAATGCCCTAAATTGGTGAAAAAAATCTAGTAAAACTCGTAAACGATATGTATTTTCGATATGAATGAGAAAGAGATAAGGGTGTGTGTAAAAATTGTTGGCAAAGCTAGAGTTAATTTTTTTGAAGTACCACTTTGATTGAAAAGAAAAAAAAAAATTAAACATTACGAATAAGGATGGATATCACCCTGACCGACAGTTTTTTACCTTCAATTTGAGACGCAATATAATTGAGACTGGAAATTAATATTTGGCAGGGGCAGCAGGAGTAGCAGATCGAGATCACTCAGCGGCAATGATTCAGTGTGCTCTAGATTATGGCGATTACTAAGTGGGCGACGAAATTCAGATGAAGAAATTCGACGTCAAAGAGGTATGTGCAACTTGAAAATCAAGCAGCCAGGCGACTCAAATCACTGCATAGACTAACAATATTTCATATTCTAGGTTTTAGCACAAAAAGACTGATTTCAAGGAAAATTGCAACAGCAACACTTTGTGGCGTGCGTGCTATGAAAAGAAGGAGTAATAAAAAACCGAAATTCATCTTTGTTGTTAGAGAAGGCGTGTCCTGCCATATTCATTGGAAACATGTCCGACAATGAGTCGCTCCGATTGTGATTCTTTTATTTTTCGTTTCTACTTTTTGTTTTTCGGTTTTCTAACAACAATGCAGATGTTGCATGTGTGAGGAATTTGCGATTTGACTGTTGATTCTTACGTAAAAGTTTGCGAGAAACACGATAGTGCCACTGATTTTCTCTGAAATCAACTCCCAAGCTTAAAAGAAGCTCTCAAGTTGAGGCAAAAATGGAGGGGGTATTCCACCCTACCCTGAGAGTCCACGTCTACATCAAGACAAAATCTCCATGCAAAGATAGGGAGCAAATACATTGACAGGGCTGCCACTTTATTTGGGGACTCCAAAACTAAAAACACGGCATCCCTGCTGATGTATTTGCTCCATATCTTTGCATGGATAGTTTGTTTTGATGTAGAGGTGGACTCTCAGGGTAGGGTGGGGTATTTCCTCCATTTTGGCGTCACTTTGAGAGCTTTTTTTGAGATTGGGAGATGATATTATAGAAAACCAGTGACACCATCCTGTTTCTCGCGAACTTTTACAAAAGAATCAATGGTCAAATTGCGAATCCCTCACACATGCAACATCTCCATTAGCGGAATATGTGTTTACTTGACACAATTTATAAACGTACATCAGTCAGAAGGAGGAGAGTAGGCGATAATAAAAGCCAGTGTTTGCACAGCTGTCAACACTTTCCAAAAACATTTATTTGCTTTTCTGAAACAAAAAAATATTGCATTCACAAAAACGGTACTCGGTACTCGTGATCGCTTCCTTGATAACCAACAGCATTAGAGTTGTCATCCGACTCTCGTTGACAAAGCACATTACTGCCATGCAAAGGAAAACCGCCGTATATGAGCATTAAAATATTGCCAAATTCCCTCTTAGAAACTATTTGTTTTTCAGGAAAGTTAGGAATATTTTTCCTTGAAATTTTCGACACTTCAGATCAGATTCCGAGCTATATTCTATAAAAAAAGGAAAGAAAAATATTCACAAATTTTCCTGCAAAGGCGTGATTTGTCAAAGAAATTTTGGCAACATCTGGAGGCTTAGACGCGGCGTTTTTCCTTTTCGCTGGAGATTACGTCATTGTACCATGACAACAACACTATGACAGCTACATGATTCCATGTTGTGGGGATTGTGAGAGGATGTTTGAAAAAAAATGGAATAGAGATGTGCATAAAAACGAGGATAGTAGGAGGAGGTTTACATGAAGTTTATAGATACCAAGTCGAAGTTGAAGAAGATTTTAGATACTTCGTTTAGTAACCAGGAGGGAAGGGGGTGTACCGGCACGGGGCCAAGAAATTTCGATTCCTAGCAATAAATGCTTACTGCATATCCTTCTCATTCAAACGTCGTGTGATGGCTTGATACCGGGAAAACAATCGGGAAAGCTTTATTACGTTCGTCGTTCGTGTCAGAGAGGCGCTCAGCTGTTATCCATGGGCGCATTTTTAAGTTCCCCCTAGGAGATGAGCGAGCTGAAAGAACTCGCTCAAGAGAGCGTTAACCATCGATTCTGAGAAAACTACGTAACCACTAAAAACATCGATTATAGAAAAACCATCATTGCCCTCCGTGATTTAACATTAGAATCATTAGGCAAAGGTATGACAAATTAATCTATTCTAAATATGTGAGGCCTCCCTAACTTTTTGATGAGCTGGTGCGTCATTTCAACGCATTGCCACTACACTGAAAAAAAATTCTCGGCGTTTTTACCAAGGTCCTTTGGTACCTTTACCATCTCACTTTTTTTTACCAANTGACTTTCAGGAGGGGAAATTTGGCCGCCATCTTGGATTTAAGGGTCTTTAAGAAGTCGGAGTACATTTTTAAGCATATATTTGAAATTTTCGACCAAAAATACATAGGAATCGACATACATGTCGACCATGGGAGTCACTTTCACCCACTTCACCCCCGTAGCGGCCATTTTGGGCGCCATCTTGAATTTAAGGGTGTTCCGGGAAAAATTTAGCCTGGCAGCATCGAAATTCTGTTTCAGGACATCAAGACGAAGAGATCAAGCCATCTCGCCAACTTGTATCATTAACGGTGCCACGGGACTACATGTGCTCCCGGACTAGATTGTGAGAGGATGTTTGAAAAAAAATGAAATAGAGATATGTAAAAAAACGAGGATAGTAGGACGAGGTTTACATGAAGTTTATAGATACCGAGTCGAAGTTGAAGAAGATTTTATTAGATACTTCTTTTAGTTACCAGGAGGGAAGGGGGTGTGCCGGCACGGGGCCAAGAAATTTTGATTCCTAGCAATAAATGCTTACTGCATATCCTTCTCATTCAAACGTCGTGTGATGATTTGACACCGGGAAAACAATCGGAAAAGCTTTAATACGTTCGTCGTTCGTGTTAGAGAGGCGCTCAGCTGTTATCTATAGGCGCATTTTTAAGTTCCCTTTAGAAGATGAGCGAGATGAAAGAACTCGCTCAAAAAAGTGTCAACCATCGATTTTGATGAAACTACGTAACCACTAAAAACATAGATCATAGGAAAACCACCATCGTCCTCCGTGATTTAGCATTAGAATCATTAGGTAAAGGTATGACAAATTAATCTATTCTAAATATGTGAGGCCTCCCTAACTTTTTGATGAGCTGGTGCGCCATTTCAACGCATTGCCACTACACTGAAAAAAAATTCTCGGCGTTTTTACCAAGGTCCTTTGGTACCTTTACCATCTCACTTTTTTTACCAATTATTGGTAATTTTACCAAGACAGACTGGTAAGCTTACCTAAAAACCGGTATTTTTACTGTTATTTTCAGGTAAGAATACCACTTTTATCGGTAATCAATTCCCGGTAACTTTGCCATTTTATCTCGGTAATTCTACCACAGGCGATAAAAAAATATTGGCATTTTTACCAAGGCCCAGTAAAATTACCGAGAAAGTTCAATAATTGTACCGAGATTTCTCGGTAAAATTACCAATACCATAAATGGTTATTTTATAAAGAAAAAATTTGGATCAAATAGAACCCTGAATTTTTGGTCATTGTACCCTTCTTTGAGTAAATACACCAAGATTTTTATTTTCTTTGTAGCATATTATAATCCTAGAAGCAGGTTGAAATAAAAAATCGATTGCTTTTTGCTGATCGCCTCCGACGACTTATGGTCGCACCTTGTGTTGAATTTTCCCTTTTTGTGTTTCCACATGTTCAGCTAGACTTCGGGCCCAGGATCCATTTTCATCACCTTATGGCGAATTAAGTCCACGACTACGACGCTACTTCGAATATCTCGGAGCTTCCAATTGGGGGTATCACTATAGAGGGAGGAGATCAGCTCCTTCTTGGGACTGGTCAAATCAGCGAGTCGTTACTTATACCTGGCGTGGAGATATTTATCTCATAACGGAGACTCATTTTACCGATGAAACATACGCCCGTATTCTGGAAGTGGCCCAACAAAACGCAAGGTTTTTGTTAGAATTTACAGGGATAAATGTACCAAGAGAGTCAGAACCATTGGTTCTTGTACGAACGCACGTAGGTAGGTGCACCAAAGACGATTTTGAAAGTTGGCAACAATGTTTTTCCTTCATTTAAATATCACCGAATAAAAGTAAAGCTGATTTAACATTCTGGATGTAAAAAAAGTGTGCGAGAACTCACAAAATGCTAAATTACCCGCCACAGCAGTTAGTTTTACATCTTGACATTGCTGAAGTAACTGCTGTGGTGGTTAATTCAGCATTCTGTGGGTTCTCGCACACTTTTTTACATCCAGAATGTAAAATCAACTTCACTTATTTCTCTGTGTACTTTCAAAATACCGATTTCAAAAGAAAAGAGAGGCAAGCTGCTTAACCCAGAATAGATTGTTTTACATACATTGAAATGGTATAGAGAACTGAAGTTGCCAACTTTCAAGGATCGCCTCTGAGGCAAGCCTCCGTAGAAAGATCGTTGTATCCAGAAATGAAATGGAGATGTTGCATGTGTGAGGGATTTGCGATTTGACCATCGATTCTTATGTGAAAGTTTGCAAGAAACACGATGGTGCCACTGGTTTTCTCTGAAATCATCTCCCAAGCTCATAAATAGCTCTCAAAGTGAGGCCAAAATTGAGGGGACATCCCACCCTACCCTGAGAGTCCACGTCTACATTGAGACAAACTCTCCATACATAGATAAGGAGCAAATACATTAGCAGGGCTGCCACTTTATTTGGGGACTCCAAAACTGCAAACACGGCAACCTTGCTAATATATTTGCTCCCTTTCTTTGCTTGGAGAGTTTGTTTTGATGTAGAGGTACACTCTCAGGGTAGGGTGGGATATCCCCTCCATTTTGGCCTCACTTCGAGAGCTATTTATGAGCTTGGGAGATGATTTCAGAGAAAACCAGTGGCACCATCGTGTTTCGCGCGACCTTTTACATAAGAATCGATGGTCAAATCGCAAATCCCTCACACATGCAACATCTCCATGCAACATCTCCATGCAACATCTCCATGCAACATCTCCATTAACTCGAGCTAATTTGAAAGACCGAAAATTGATGGCCAAATACCGAAACCACGGGTCTCTGTTTGTGACTTTGCAGACTTCCTGTCATACTATACTCTTCCATTGAAATACTTGTGAACTTACATTCTTTAAAACTTCCTCAATTTTCCCTCTCTGCTTGTCTGGAATACTATGTATTAACGAGCTGTAAAGTTGGATGGGTTTCTTTCGAAAAAATCAAACAAAAGTAGAGATTTTAAACCACCGCAATGGAGATGCGTGGTTTCGCACCTTACCCATCGATATTGTAAACCTGCGTCATTAGCGGCATCAGGAGTTGCTAGGATCATGCATGGTGTTTCTTGTCGCATCAAAACCTTAATGCTTTCGCTTCATCAGATTTTATGAGAGACTTTTCTGCAAAGGTTTCAAGCCGGGGCCAAATTAGGGTTCTGATTGGTTCTGCTCTCACTATGGCAGCAAATTAATGTAGCCGCAGTACTTTGATAGCTCTGATCTCTGATTGGTATTCGCAGAATCAATAAGAACTCTGACATCGCCAAATAGTAGTAGTTCCTTTTAAATGAGAAAAAAAGTGCTCAATCTTAACGAAACCTGATGACGCTTACCAGGTTTTGAATTGCTACTCTTCAATGGACCACTAGACAAGGTACGAATTTCAGCATTCTGATACATGTTTCTCAACCAAAATTTCACGTAGAACACGATACGCACAACGAAAATTACCAAAATCAACTCCTGGCGAAGATATTTAATGATTCTTGATGCGTGAATTCAAACCACCCGCTCATGAAAACTCAATGCTCCACGTGATTCTTATCGCGCGCTAAATGTTTATCATGACAGTCTCTGCGATGTAAAAATCTTCAACTTCAATCTTGACACTTTGGCTCAGCTATAGCAAATTACCAATAGTTTGAACAACACATGGTGGAAAATGAACATTGCTCGATTGAGAAGCTTGCTGAAACCGTTGTAGTGCGCGATTTGACTCACGTAGAGCTTTGAGTTTCTTGTGAGCGGGCAGTTCAAATTCCTCGTAATCAGTGCGAAATAAAAACGTTAATATCTTCGTTAGAAGTTGATTTCGGTAATTTTCGTAGTGTGAATCGTGTTCTACGTGAAATTCTGGTTAAGAAACATGTATCAGATTGCTTAAATTCGTACCTTGTCTAGTGGTCCATTAGGCATATTTATGATACAAGAGACTATGTTGCACGAAAACCCTTCTGCATGTAAGTCCATTTACCACAAATACGTCTTAATTTCTTAGAAATAACTACAAATCGGCGGTGTAAGTCGGCAATCACATAACTCGGTTTGCGCGACGTCACAGACTTCCTGTCATATTTTTTTTTTTCAACGAAAACTACACAACGACAATTCTTTAAAACTGTCATGATCTGTCTTCTCTTTGCGAAGAAAAGTCAGCAAATACTTCGAAGAATGATGTCTATTTGTTCTCCTTTAAAAAAAATGTCATAGAGAAGGATATTTTAAGACACCGCAAACGAGATATGTGATCGCGGACGTACTCCGTCGAAATATGATTATGCATTAAAGCAATAAGCGGAACGAATTTCATATGGTTTGCGAGCTACATAACTCATTTTGATTCAAAACTTTAAATTTAAACAATTTGAATCAGGCTCGGACTGGCCATAAGGCCAATCTGCCATTGGCAGATACACCCTCTTATTGGCGCGCCGAAAATGCGCCCCTCTGACAGATAGCAAAATAAGAAGAGAAAAAAATTACGACTGAGAATATTTGCAGAAAATTTCTTAAATGAACCGAAGAAGAGAGAGATAGGAGTAAAAAAATGTGCTTTTACGCATGGAAGTGGTGAACAGAGGTCCAAGAACAACTTTTGGAAGCTTAAACACTTTTCTGTGATATGTTCACCTTTCTGTTGACATACAGGCGCTTTATCATCCCTATGTGTAACTCCCTTAGAAGCGATGGTCGATTCGATTTTTAGACGTACCCCCCCCCCTTATACCCTTCTTGAGAGACCTTTAAACATACTANCCCCTCATCCAATTTATGAGTTTTTAGGGATTTAAAAATCGGGGACGAACCCCAGAAAATAAATTATAGTTTTCCCGAAGCATTGAGAACAACACCTTTCAAATGAACCAACGCCCCTCGCAATTAGTACAGTGGTTGATTCACAATTTCATTCTATTTTTCAAATTAAATATTAAGATTTCTATGACTATTGATTTGGACAAACCATAGCATAACTCGGGCAAACTTAACCTTCATTTATCTCGAAATTCAAAAATAAGAGACGTCTAAAGTGTAAACGCGATACAACTATTCGCGCAAAATGGATGTTCACATTGCATATGAAAAATGTAAGACGAGATGGCGCAAGTTGTGAGCTCTCAAAGCTCTGCTATGTGCTACTAGTTTAGAGCACCATTACGAATTAGACAAACGCATACAAACGCAATATGGAAATAAAGTGAGGGAAAGGATGAGCGTTAACGACGGCGCAAAGATACAACTATTCGTACTCGATGGACGTCCGTGCTGTATCTGAGAAATTGAAGGCGCGTTGACGCGAAGCGTGAGCTCTCAATGCTGTGCTATATGCTGTTAATGAGGTGTCGCTCAGATTCGGGAGAAAAGTTAAAAAAGAGGCCCGAACACGTCTTTCCTGTCTTCAGCTGTGTTGATACTCGTCCTTTCTTCTTTTTTCAGTTTGTTGTCTGATTCTTTTTTAGGATGGATTTGCAGACCCACGTCTTAGGCTCGTGTAAACCTCAGCACTGGCTCGATTCTTTTGGAAACAATGGTGCTTGGATACGTCCTAGTGGCTTTAATTTTTTATGTTTTCTTTAATTTCAGAAGTCTGTCGGTTACTTCAATACGTTCAATTTTGCAAGTTTTACTCCTTGCGATTACTTAATAAACTTTGAACCTGAAAATAGCGTAAACTTGTGCTGCTTTGCCAAAATTTTCTCATCCCCTGTCTTCGTAAGAGATGCCCCACCAGGAAATATCACATTACGCCCCTTTAACCAGCCAAGGGTCTGTGCCCTCAGATGCGAGCCAGTCCGACCCTGATTTGAATCAATAGGTCCATCCGCAACCTCGTGTGCGAGGTGAACGAATTAAAATTTGTTTAGCTCTGTGGTTTTTCCGCGGATAATTACTGCTACCAACAAATTCTCATAATCCTATCTAAAAATGACTCAGATTTAAGAAAAAAAAAAGAGAGAGAAAGAAAGAATTTTCAACTCCACTTGAAATTTGGGTAGGAAGATTGCTTGAAGCTGTTGCCATTAGGACCTAATTATACAGGGTAACCTAAAAGTCCCTTCCGGTTCCTCTACCTTTTCACGTTATGGAGGTAATGATGTGAAATTGGGGGAATGTTCTTGGGCCGAAAAGAGCTATTTTTACCCCCCCCCCCTAAAATGTTCTAGGGGCCCTCTGGGAGAGGGGTCGTTGGATGCTAATTTTTTTTTTCTAATTGGAAGACCCCTTTTGTGATACCTCGTCCGAAAGAGCATAAAAAAAGAAAACTTTTCGCCCGAACCCGAAGCCAATATCTCAATCCGGTTCAGAATAGTGAAGCTCAACATGGCCGAAAATTGGTACCCCGCTTTTATATTGATGCATTTGCCTGAAGCTCGGTATCTGGGAGGGGGGGTGCTTGAACACAAGAAAAACGAATTTAATGTTAGATTTATAAGAAAACCGAAATTTCCTAAATGGCAGTCGGATAAAGTTCAAAATGGCCGAAAATTGGTTTTTCATTAAAAATCTAACTTCAAATGTGTTATTTTCATACCAGAATTCCCCTAAGGCCAAAGTTTCAGGCAAATGCATCAGAAAACCGAGCTGGCAATTTTCGGTTATTTTGAAAATTTCAGTTTTTTTTTTTTAAAATTGAACGACAAATTCGTTTTTCTTTATGTCAAAGTACTTATTCTCGCTCAAATCTATTGACAAACAACCGGTATGTCAATTGTCGGCGATCTTGAATTTTAACCGGCCGCCATTTCGAAACGGTTTGAGATATTGACTTTGGGTTTGCGTGAAACGTTCTTTTCTTATGCTCTTTCAAACGGGGTATCACTAAGGGGGGTCTCCCCTCTCCCCATTTGAAAAAAAACTGGGGTCCATTGCCCCCTCAAGAGGGTCCCCCTGAAAATTTTAGGGAGCCCAATAGCTCCCATTTACCTGAGAACATCCCCCAAGTATCACATCTTTACCACAAGTGGGTAAAAAGTTAGAGGTAGGTAGGGGTAGAAAGGACTTCTAGATCACCCTATATTGATACAGCAAGAAAATCTCTTTTTGACCCGGAGAGAATCCGTACTGAAGTTAATAATCCTGGAGCATTAAGAACATCTGCGGTTATCCTGGAACATTTTCGTTTTCGATTCCTTGATCACTCATGGACGGGTTCATGACCCACGCTGCCATGATGGCGAAGAGAGCAGTAAGGGTCAATTTTTCAAAACCGAGTTTCCTCCAAAATTCGTCGAATCTACTTCAGATGAAATCACTGAAACAGCTGAAATAGCGAAATTCATCTACATTGTATATAAATGAGAAATGCGAAAGCCGTAAATGCGCAAAAAATGACGTAATTTCGGGCAAAACAGCTAGAAGTGACGATATTCCTCCGGAGAGCCAATGTACACTGCGCTTTCAAGTAAAAATTTTCCAATCAGACGCTTCTAAGCTCTTTTTCTGAAAACTTCATTTTTGCACTCACTACTCTCTCCGCTATCACGGTAACATGGTATAATACACCTTGTCACCCTTAGCATGTATACCCGCCTGCACTGTTGTAATCATGCATTTTTGCAAAGAAGGACTTCTCACCTACATAATTATTTATACCACAACCTCCGGAAGTCGTTTGGGACGTCGAGTTGAAGGAGTTCCTAACTCCAGTTCCTAGTTATCCAGACGTGTCCGCAAGAGCAGTGCTCAATTCTAACTTTTGTAACTTTTCTCAAAGTCAATATCGAAATATTTTTCGGCGGGGAGGATCGAGTAAAAGTTATTGAATGTTTCGCTGTTGTGGTTACTGAATATACAAAGATTACAACGAAAGTCACTCATCACTAGATATCATACTAAACTGAGTTCCGTGATACAACTATTTCAACTCCTGAGTCGCTCAAATTGTATCCATCGAGTTGAAGGCGAACTTTATTCTTAACTCCAAGCTTCCAATTATGCAGACATGGCCGGGAGAGCGGGTCTTAATTGTACCTTAAGCAACTTGCTACCTGATGAAAAAGCTTGTAGGTAATGAGAGTTGTGGGTGAATATCCGTGGAATAAAAAGTATTGTGTGAAAACGTGTGGGTGAATAGTGCCTTAGGCGCAGAGACTGTGGGTGAGTAGTCCTGGCTCAACTTTTTCAGATCGCGGGACTCGAAGCTTTGTCTTCGTGAGAAGAGAGTTCGCGCACTTGGACTTTTTGCCAGCAGATGGATCTTTGCCAAACATTTTAGAAATGTATGAATTATTGAACCAAGCACGAATCGGTAAGTTCTACTTATCGAAATGATTCTTTTTTCGGCTTGCAGCATCAGTAACTTTTTTGGAAGCTCTCAAAGATTCAGAACGAGCCCGTCAGTCACTTTCCGGTAAGCAACTCAGGCACTCGATACATTGTATCAAGTAAAGTATCGAGTAGGGGGTCGAAACGATCGGAAAGACGGTTTACTACGTATACGCGCCAATAATGAAGGTCGTGCGCTATGCACGGTGCGGACAAGCTGCGGAACGGACGGCAAGGTGGCCCTCATGAAATTCTACCCTGTGCTCTGTCCGCAACCTGCATTCTTTGTAACTTTTTCGACTTTCCCCTCGTCCGCGGGCCGTTTTTCTCAGTCACCGCCGACCAAGTTTGTATTAAGAGAAACTAACCTGAGTAAACAAATGATTTCACTAACTTTCCCTATTATTTGCTTTTCATCGTTTTCAAGCATTTTCTCCCATTTCCTTCCTCTCTTTTGCAAAAACAAATGCTTTGAATAGATTGAAATCTTGCGCCAAGAGAGTTTATAAAAGTTCGCGAGATTGTATGTTTATTTAGAGTAAGGCCTCTCTCCGGGCGAACCTAGTGGACTGCCGGCCGCCAGGAGAATCTGCCCGTATACGCGGTAAATTTGGGAAAACGTTTTATAAACTATACGTACGCAGATGAGGAGTGAATATCAGACCTTTTTGATGTGCCGACTTTTTTTTGGAGCGAATTTACCCTCTTAAAGAATTTTCAGTCGGCTGGTATCTCTTCCATGCAACAGACCTATTTGCGGTGACTTTTCGGAAAATTCACTCATGGGTGGTTTCATGATAACTCGAATAGTTTCGTCGCCGTAACAGACAACACATTTTTCGGTCATATTTTTAGTAGAAATGATAATCACTCGAATTTTTTCGCACTAATTTTGAAAGGGTTGCGTAATATAACGCTTTCTAATGATTTATTGCTCTAATTCTCAATTAATATTATGTAAATTCCGAAAATGTGCTGTCTATTACGCGGTAAAAAGTCAGCGTAACAGACAGCACATTTTCGGCCATTTATATATTAAAATTGAAAAGTAGAGCGACAAATCTTTGAAAAGCGTTATAACACGTAACCCCGTGTAGATTAATGCAAAAAAATTCGAGTGATTATCATTACCTCTAAAAATATGACCGGAAAATGTGTTGTCCGTTACGGTGACAAAACTATTCCAGTTATCGTGAAACCACCCTCATGCCTTCGTAAGTGCACAGACTACGAAAAGAACTGTTTCTCTTACTTGCCGAAAACTTCACGTGGAGAAAAGTGGCAGGGTTTTTAGTTTGTCCCTCTGTCATGCTATGACTCTAAATCAAATTTCTCTTTTGTTTCAACAGCGGCTGGACTCCCTCCACATACTGAAACTCCCCGTGGCTCGTCGACTCCATTTCCGGTGAGAGGCCACAACCGGGGCGAAGTAGATCCGAGGGATGAAGAGGCTCCCGACACTGATAATGAAAAGGAAAACGGTAAGTCTACAGAGAGAGAAAGAGAGTGCGGACATCCGCCGTGATAGCGAAGAGAGCCGTAAGTGCAAAATTTTCGAAATCGAGTTTTCTTCAAAATTCGTCTAAACTCTTTTAGATGAAATTACTGAGACAGCTAAAACAGCAAAATCCATCCTACTTTAATGAGAACGAGACGTATGTAAAAGCCGTAAGAGCACAAAAAATGACATAGTTTTTTTCAAGACAGTCGCAGGTGCACGATAGCCAATGAAAACAGTGCTTTCCAGTAAAGTGCCGCCCTCTTCTGCCAATTTCTAACCTGAAAATGTGTTTGTTGGGCGTCCAAAACGCAACCACGAAAGCATGGAGAAGATAGCACTTACGGCTGTCTTGCCTAACAATAACCTAGCATGAAAATGAAAAATGCCCTTTTTATGTAATCGAAATAAAATCGGTCGATTTTTAATCATCCATAAGATTTCTAGGAGTCTTTTGGACGATTAGTGGCAATTTGACAAAGAACGGAGGCTTCTTTCAATAAAATGTTCCGGTCAGAAGCTTCTGAGCTCGTTTTCTCAGAACTTCATTTTTACACTTACGGCTTTCTTCGCTATCACGGCAGACATGTCAAAACATGGAGCTCTTAGGGCCCAAAAGGGCAGTCAACTGTATAACACAAAAAACGTGATTTCCAATTTTCAAATTCCAATATCAAGCCAAGATGGCCAGGAATGTTCATGAAGGAGTGTTCTTCCGGGAAAATGAGTAAATGGGTGGGTCAGTCGCACTTGTCACAGAACCGTGTTTCGACGCTTGATTCTTGTAGATTGGCTACAAATAATAAGATCCGTCCAAACAGCAACTCTTAACGTTCAATAATAATCGAGATATCGCCCTTTGAAAAATTCGTTTTATTACGTCGCACAATGGATCGATTCAATAGGAGAGGTCGACATTTGGAAACTTTAAAACCCTATAACTCCGTTTATACACAATTTGAAGACTCTAAAAGTGGTACAATTGGTCTCCTCGTTAAATTTTCATCTATGCACTCCTTGAATTTTAAAATGTGACGAAATAAACATCAAAATTTGCAGTTTTAGCCAAAAATGTCATGTCCGACCTCTTCTTTTGGCTCGTTCCACTGTGCGTCGTCCACCGCGGTAGTGACACCCTTGGTTTTTTCCACCTTGCTTTCATTTGTTAGAGAGAAACACATTTTCATTGGTTGCTCAACGCGAAACTCAGATGAAAGAAACCAAGGGTGTCATTACTGCGGTGGCTGATATCAAAAACCTGAATTTTGAAAGGGCAATATCACGATCACGATCCATTAAATGAGAGTTTACACTTCTGACCATCATTTGGACTGCATTTTGCAAATTGGGCCTACAAATTCTGGCTCATCTGAAAAAACACTTTTGTGCATAGGGAAACTAATGGTACGTACGTTATTTTTAAACCGGGCCGGAATTTATAGGTCAAAATTGCAAAATGCAGTCCATTTGTTCTCACCATAGTGCAATTCTTTTCCGGTGTATAACACTAATTTCATCCGGCGGTTCTTTCAGATTCAAGTTGCAGGATTTGCATGGAAAGGAAGATCAAGTTGGCGCTGATACCATGCAATCATGAAATTTGTTATACTTGCACCCAAACCATGAGCGGAAGGAGAATTGTTGAGAATCAGCCTGTGCGATCTTTCAATTGCCCCTTTTGTCGTCGAAAAGTGACCGGCTACCGGCCGAAATTCTACTCCGATGGACCTGCCACTAAACCTGCTGATGCTGATGTTGACGTTCCTGTGACGTAAGAACGTATCCCAACTTTCACGTGATCCCTGTTCTCCGTAAGCCTCTGTGTTTCCTGGGGCTCATGTCGAAATTTCAATTTCACAATTACGTTGGCTGGTTTTCCATAGAAAAAATAAAGTATCACAGGAAATCTGCAACGTCGCAAACGGAGATACGTGCTTTCGCACTATGGTCACCACTATGCCTCTATTTATTGGTTCCTCTACTTTTTTGAGTTTGCATCCTTTGGACTTTAAAAAATTACATCTCCATCAATAAGTTTTGTTATTCACCGGGCAAATTCATCCCTAAAAGGATTAAGTATGTCTCCTTCCTCTGCAGTGGCAGCAATAACTATAGTTCAACTTTCGAATATTAAAGATGCGAGGTCTTTTTTCAAAACCGGCCTCACAATTTCAACAGCTTTTTTTTTTTTTTTTTCATAGCAAGTTTGTACTCACCATTATAGAATAGAATAGAATAGAATAGAATAGTATTTTATTTTACCCAAAAATAACGGGTTTATAAACAGAGGTTCTTGGCAATTATATAAGGTTCATTAAAAAAAAAAAAAAAAAAAAAAAAAAAAAAAAACAAACAAACAAACAAACAAACAAAAGCATCATAAGCCAGGTATAAAAGTATAAAAGTGTAAAAGTGTAAAAATATAGGGTCTACTCGTTTAGGATAAAAGATCTAATTTTCATTGCTGATGACAAAAACATATATAGTGCAGAAATGTGCTCAATTTTTGCTGATTTTTTTAGGATTGACATTGACAGGTACATTTTTAAAATAGAAGTTCCTAACGCGTACTCACCATTATCATTCATCAAAATTGCGCCACGCATGACAATCGGTATCTCCTTAATTTGAAGGCGTTTTTTGCCGTGGGAAAGAAACTCTGAGAAAGTCGGCTTCACTCGCTTGTGTTCTATTCATACTTTTGCGTTTGAAAAATAAAGGATGCCAGGATATCTGTGACATCGCAAACCGAGTTATGCGACTGCCGACATACACCGTCGATACCTCTTTCAGGGAAAATTGTTCTCATATGAGCTTTCCCCTTCTGTATTGATTTATTTAGCTGTATGTTGAATTTTTAACGTACTTTGGTAAAAACTCCAACATACTCAAAGTTTTCTCCTGATTTTGGTCTGTATTTTTAATTATTTGTCCATTGAATCGGTGTTGATCGGTTGTAAGATGTGTACGACATGTGTAAAACATTTTTAAGTAGCATAACTACGAATAACACATGAAAACACTGTTAAATCTTCTTTCGCCTTTATCACAGAAGCATGTAAGATGTCTATAACCTTAAACTTGCCTGCTGATAACAGCCATCTCGCTTGTTTATTTACGGCCGTAAGAACATCGTGTCAGCGTATTTTTTCGCGACTAATGAAGAACCGGCACAGAAATGGCCATACTCTGTCTATAAGGGTATTCTAAGGCTAAGGAGATCTGGGGGACTTCACCAGCTGCAAAAGGAGGACCAAGGGGAATTTCTCGCAAAATTTCGTCTTGAGAGCAATTTTAATCCATTCTTATTGACAAATTAAATGGAGTAAAATATTACAGATGACAAAAATTTCGCTGACTTGTTTTTCAAAAATACCATACCTCACAGTGGGTTTTAGTTTAATCCATCTTAATGTATATCTCATATGAATAAGTATTCCCGAACGAAGCAATATTATTCCTGGATTTACTAAGATGGGCGTATTTATGCTTGAGGAACTATCTGCATAGGGTTTGCGTGTAACATAGTTCCTTTTTTCATAAATACGTCCAAATGAGAGGCTACAACCGAATACAGTCAAACTGCATTCCACGTTCCGTAATCGTTTGTTGAAGAGAAACTGAGGCTGCTCTTATTGCGAGAAATCTTCTGACATTTTTGATCGATTATACATATATTAGGATCAGCAGGGGTGTAGAGCAGTGGCATGGCATGTTTTGCGATACATCGATTGATCTGCCATTTAAAACTATGGCAAAGAATCGATAAACAGGGTGTTTGCAACGAATACCTTAATAATCGATTCTTTGTCACAACTTCAAACAAGGAAATATCGATGATCGATCATTCACGCCTCGCCACTGGTGCAGAGTGTGCTCTATCGTAGACCGATCGCGAAGCAAATGTGAGGGCACCTGTTAAAGGGTATAAAAATTTGCAAGCGGAAAACATGACGACGGTGTAAGTCCGCAATCACGTATCTCGGTTTGCAACGTCGCAGACTTCCTGTCATACCTCATTTTTCAAACGACAATCAACGGCAATTCTTTAAAACTGCCGTGATTTTTCATTCATGGCCCGATTTAGGGGGTGGCCACATGGGCCGCAGCCCATAGCGGCGAATTTAGGGGGTGACAAATGTTCACTGGAAAAAAAAAAAAAAAACAAAAAACACATTGGATCTAGAGTCCAGACTCTTAAAAACATTGACAAAAAAAAGGACTCTAGAATCAATCAGATTTAAGCTTAAATCAAAAGGAAATCCGCTCAAATTAAGAGGCTTGGTTCTTGATTTAAGCTTAAATCTGATTGAATCAAGAGTATTTTTTCTTGTCGATGTTTTTAAGAGTCTGGAGTCTAGATCCAATGTGTTTTTTTTTTTCCAGTGTTGTGATTTTTTCAAATGTAGGTATCCAAAAAAAAAATCTGTTTCAGAAAAAAAATTACAAACGAGAAAAGGCGAAAAAATCTCTCATTTCCTATGAGTTAAAATATAGTAATTTCTAATTTGTTCGTCTTTCGATGATACAAGAGACAGCGCCTTTCATTAGTCTAGTTGAGTGAAAAACCAAACACGCAATTTTGCCTGGAGCGGAGCGGCGCAGAGAGCAATGATGACGAGGACTTTAGATGAAACGGAGAAGCCCTCGGCGCGCCGGTCAGCATATAACACATATTAGCTCCTACAAGACTCCATGAATACTTCGCGCATTGCGTCAAATGTAATGCGGTAAGCAGCGGTCGCGGTGAAACGCATAGCGCCTACAAGACTGCATGAATACCTCACGCATTGTGTCAAAAACAGTGCGGTCAGCAGCTAGCGGTCGGCGCGAAACGCATAGCGCCTACAAGACCTTATGGATACTTCACGCATTGTGCAAAACACAGTGCGGTTTGCACGGTGGCGGAAAATAAAATAATTAAACCACATTCGTGTTTATTCTTTTATGATTGGACGTATTTCTGTCGAACGGAGCTAAGCGCCAAATTGAGTTCCTTTTGAGGAATTTAGAATGCCGGATAGCGCGTTCTGTCAAACGAAACTGTGCGCCATGGAAAAGCATTGCGAGTATAGGACGGAATGAGCCCGACACCCGGTTCCGCCGCCAATTCAAGCCCCCCTCTACCTTCCTCCTCCGATGACGCTTAGTTCCGTTTGACAGAAATACGTCCAATTGTTTCATTCTCTCCTTATAAATGAAAGGCTTCATCCACACAGAGATAGGTTTACTGAACTTAATTTAAATTTTTTCTGTCGTGCCCGACGTAATTTTTGTGTGATTTTACCCGTAAAAAATGAATTTATTGCATATATACGCAACAGACCCATTTTGCAGTGCTGAAGAAAAACGCCGTGTGAACTTTCGAGAGTTGCCAAATTTCCTTCGACAAAATGTTTATTTTTGAGGAATGCCATGAATATTTCCCCTTGAAATTTTCAGGAACTTTGAAATCGCCAACAAAATTACTCGAAAAATTGGAAGAAAAGCACTTACAAATTTTCCCGAGATTTCGCGATTTACTAAGGGAAACTTTGGTAGCGCCTGGAGGCTCACACAGCGTTTTTCCTTAGCACGACAGCATGGAGAGGGGCTTGCGGGGGGATACTGCCGGCAAATTTTTCGGGGGTGTCATTAACCAAAAGTACCTTTTCATGATGGAGTATTTATAGTGTTCAATACTTTGCGAGAGTCGGATTTAATCAGTGGCGAAGCGTGAATGATCGATTGTCGATATTTTCCCATTTGGAGCTATGTTAAAGAATCGATTATTGAGGTGCTCGCTGCGAAAACCCTGTTTATCGATACTTTTATCCGTAGGTTTAAATGGCAGATCAATCGATACATCGCAAAGCACGCCACGCCACTGGGTTCGATATTCATTTATCATATACTCGTGCGTCAAATCTCGCTTATTTCAACTTTCTCCCACGGACCAAGGTCAACTTTTGTTATTGCACCATCTCTGTGTCATAACCCGCCGCTTTTCCGACTTACGGTCGTGATTTAATTATTCTTTGAGCCGTAAAACACATGGAGTTCCACAACCGACAGGGCTCACCTCAAAATGTTACTATACGCCCTTACATCAGAGAAACAAGAATGTTTGTCGTGTGGTTTAGTAGACACCGGCAAGTCCCTAACATTTCCGTGTGACCCCTGACGTAGTATACGTACTAATTGCGGCTCACGCTGAATTGTACTTATTACCGTTGTTTTCGTGTCATGGAACAGTAAAAAAGTTGTCGAACACTAAACGCTAACAGTGGCGAGACGTGAATAAACGATTATCGATATCTCTCCATTCGAAGCTATGTTAAAGAGTCGAATATTAAGGTGTTTGCCACCAACACCCTGTTTATCGATCCTTTTCCATAGATTCAAGTGGCAAATCAATCGATACATCGCAAACACGCTACGCTACTGAATGCTAAGTGTACAGTATTAACCATACTGAAGTGTACTGTATTAACCATAGTAAAACTGAACTTTTGGTGAGAAGTGCTTTTGATTCGTAGAGCTGATGAACTTTTAGTATGTGAAACTGAATTTCCGATTATCAGAACCGAACGATTGATTTAGAGAACTGAACACTTGGTTTGTAGCGAAAATAACTTTTCTGGAAAATAGAAGTCTGAGATGTCATCGAATTGGGAAAGGGAATTTTGGCTGTGCGAATTAAAATTTGACCATGCGAACTGAAAGTTAAATGTTGACAAGGTCGAATATTTCGGTCGATATTGAACACAGAAACTACGAATTTTATGAAAGTAAAACTTTTACGTTCGGTTCAGATTTTTATTCCCCCGCACGTTGATATCAGAGCCGTTCAGCTTTTATAGTCCTCCAACATGCTTAAAATAAAAGCGCTCATAAAGTGTTTCAAATAAATCATTTTCGTAAAATGTTTGTTAACAAATTGTTTCAAGCACCTTTGCGGAGATGTAACACTGTCCGGCAAAATTAATTACCATCATCACATCTAAATAAATAGAGCAAATCGTTTCGTAGACTTAAAGTTTGCGTAGTTTTGTTTCGTAGAGAGTGAAAGTTGCAGAAGAAAT